TTGGAGATCAGTGTGAACCGCAATCTGGCCGAACAGCAAGCCGCTGCTGAGGGAGAACAGGGGCCTTCAGAGCAGCCCCCAGCAGGCCAAGAGGAAGAAGAGGTTGCAGATCCTGAACCACAGGTTCCTATGGAAGCAGAGGTTGTGGAAGAACCAGTTGTTGAAGAGTTAGCTGTCATTGTTGAGCCAGAACCTGAAGAAACACCTGAAGAAGAGGTTGCCTCACAAGAAGCTGTTGAGGAACCTCCCAGTCCACCCCCAGCTCCACCTCCACCTCCAGCTCCAGTTGTAGCAGAAGCTTCACCGGAGCAACCCTTACCTTGTTCTTCTCCACGAAGGGGACAAAGAAGACCTCGCAGCCGTAGCCCAGAACCACGCAGGACCAGAGCCCGCTTAGCCAGAAGCCGCTCACCTCTCCGTTTGGATCAGCTAGATGGCCTACCCAGTCCACGACACACCTACAGCTCTCAGAACCCCAGTTCTTCCACCGACACACCTCCAGCGCCTCAAGTGGAGGGCAGTTCTCGGACTCGACAACATATACTCTCCAGGCAAAGCCCAGCAGACGACAATGTTCATCCACCCAGTGTCGAAGCAGAATCAGTCCCAGAGGCCCAGAATGTCAGACCTCAGGAAGGAGAACCCAACGGGAATGAAGGAGGCTTGGCGGAGCGCCGTCCCCCAACTATAATGCTCGACCTTCAGGTGCGTCGTGTGCGTCCAGGTGAATATCGGCAAAGAGACAGCATCGCCAGCCGTACCCGGTCACGCTCGCAGAACTCCAACAACACTTTTCTCTATGAGAGTGAGCGAGGGGGTTTTCGCAGGACCTTCTCGCGCTCCGAGCGTGCCGGAGTGAGGACCTACGTCAGCACCATTCGGATCCCCATTCGCAGGATCTCCGACGCAGGGTTAGGAGAAGCGACGTCGATGGCACTCCAATCTATGATAAGGCAGATTATGACAGGCTTCGGCGAGCTAGGCTACCTCATGGACTCTGACTCAGATTCTTCAGATTCAAACCGCGGTACCGGGACACCCGCAGATACGGAATCCATCACCAATCCAGATGCTAGTAACGCTGACGGATCTGCTGCTGATGAGCAACCATCGGTTGCTGCTGCTGCTGGAGCCAGAGAGAGGACAGTTGAGACAGAAGTGGATGAGGGTCTTACTACTGGCCCACAGGCTTCTGGTGGAAGGGCTCGACCTCGACCCCCCATTAACCTGGAGGAACCCAGCTCGCTGCCCTTCCTGCGACTTGCTCACTTCTTCCTCCTGAATGACGATGACGATGACCAGCCTCAGGGGCTGACCAAAGAACAGATTGATAACCTTTCCATGCGCAACTTTGGTGAGAGCGACGCCTTGAAAACCTGTAGCGTCTGTATAACGGAGTACGCTGAGGGGAACAAGTTACGCAAGCTTCCCTGCTCTCATGAGTACCACGTGCACTGCATAGACCGCTGGCTCTCTGAGAACTCCACCTGCCCCATCTGTCGCAGGGCTGTCCTGGTTTCAGCCAACCGAGAGAGCGTGATCTAACTCTTAACAGACTCCAACCTTTTCAATATTTCTAACTAATTACACATCCAAGTCATGTAAGATGCTTTGAAGAAATGTCTCCACTATTGAAATTTTTTTTTTTCTCATAATTTGTGAGTTTGATCATTATGTTACAGGTTTCATTTGAGGTGCTCAGTCTCTTGACATGCATTCAGACTCTTAAGTTGACATTTGCTATTGTTGTCCAGAGCTGAGCAAAAGCAATGCATGCTGTTGATCAACCTGTTGTGTCCATGCAGTGATGCACCAAGTTATGTACACAAGCAGACCTATAATCTCATATTAAATCCTTTGATTATAAATGCTGCTGCACACCTGCAGGTAGTTCAAACACTTCAGATATCTTCTTTTGGTATGAATCTTAATTAGCACCTCAAGCACAATTCTTAGTTGCAGCAGTTTGAAAGTATTAGCTGTAAATAGGCTTGTAAAAAAATTATTTTGACTCTTTGTATCAGTGAAATGGTTTAGGACTGTAAATTAGAGGATCTGAGTCATTTCAGTTACACTTAAAGCAGTTTCAGGATGGGGAGAGAATGAGCTTGCATAGCATACATACGGTATGTTCACATGAGTTGGTCTGCAGGTAACGGTGTAACTTGTGCTCCTTTTTGTTCACATGACCAAATCAAGACCCTTCTCTGGAGTTCCATTTGCCAATACTCTGCTAGGTTGTTTAAACAAAAATTTAAAAAAGCAAATGTTGCTCTGGCATAAAGAAAAAACATTTGGCATCCTGCAGTGTTTTTTTAAACAGAAGAAAAAGAAATGGGGATCTGCCTGCATTGGCTTCAAGTCAGTTTAGCCCCTTTTGACAATTTGTACCCACATTTTCTGCCTACATGTTGCCATTTTGTCCTTTACCATTTACATTTCATACCTGTAAACAATTCATTTCCCACACTTGTCCTTAGCAATGCATATCATTTTTTGGTAGATCAAATAAATTATGCAAATTATGGAAATTTCATATTTTTTCATATTTTATGAAAACTTTATTAAACCCAGTTCACAATGTTATAGGTTATCAGCCCAGTTTTAGGCAGTTAAACCTCATAAAATATGATGAATTATGAAACTTGATCAGAGTAAAGCAACTCTTAAGCAACAACCTACTGTTAGATATCATTTATTGGAGTCATAAAACTATATTTCCTTCCAGCAGAGGAAGTAGTTTATGAAAAATTACTTTTTATTGGAAGGTGGGGAGAGAATTAAAAAAAAAGAAATGTCGACAAGATGTTGACTCATCTGGATGCAAATGTGCAAAATGATCAGGAGATGTCATGGTCAGGAAATATAATTTTATAGGTGAGTTCTTATTCCATAACAGGCTTACAATTGAAGTTTAAAGTTGTCCCTCTTCCACTATTCATTTCTCATGTACAGTGATTCATTCCCCTTCTCTCACCAGCAGCTACGGTCTGATAACGTGCTCATCATATTTCTCTCGTACTGGGTTAGTCATATAATCAGAAACTGGCTTTAAACGGAAATGATTTGAACCTTTTCTCAAGCCAGAGTTTGTCTCTAATGGGTAGGTCCATCATATTCTACAAGTTGCTCAATATTTATCAAACAATGCCTTAGACCTTCAAACATTGACAGAAAATGCAAATTTCAATAGAAAGTCAAGAAGTTACCCAACTGCTTTATGAGCAAATCTTCCCAAGTGGTGTGCAATATTTGCAAAATGTACAAGCATAGTAAAACAAACCATGATTTAAATGTGTACTATTGTTAAAAACTGTTTAAATCCTAAATGAAGACTTATAACCCTTTTACAGTATGTGTTGAAGTTGATTTTATTTAGAAGCTATGTAGGTTTTAATAATTAATAAACAGGAACATTGACCAGTAAAGGAGCTGAAGGGCATCACTTATTGCCATCCTGTTTCTTGTTTCACTGTTTGATGTCTTAGCCACGATTATTACCTCCCCTCTGCGGGACACAAATATTTGAATGCAAGATGTTGAACAGCATTAACGTGTAAAAAAAAAAAAAAAAAAACATGAACTGTGTGTTTCCTTTAAAGGGGCCGAGCTTCGGTTTGGCCTTGTTCTGTGACCTACCCAGTGCAGGATGTTAACTGGGTGTTTTGATGAAACTAACCGCTGAATTAAACGAGTTGATATGCTATAAAACAATACATCAGAGGTATGAGTTCTGTGCTCTGCTTGTGGTGATGTTTTTATGACGGTGCATGTATGTGTTTAAGTCATTCATTTCTAATTCATTTATAATGCGATACTGCTGCAATGTTTCCATTTTATCTTTAGGATGTTTTTCTTTGGTGCAAAAGATGTACCAGCAATATGCCAAAGGGATGCCGCTGTGTTTTATAAAACATTTCTGTCACACTTTTTGAGGTCATTACAATTTAGATTTCTCACCCGAGTTGAAGTACGTTTAATTTACCTGACAGAGTTCTTACTTCTTTATAACATACTGTGTTCTTTTAGCATCTTTCAGGCATGGGTAAGTATGAAAATTTTTTGTACTTCTTATTCTGTTGTATAAACAATTAATCTAAATTTCTAAGAAATAAAATTAACACTATAATGATTTAATCTTTGACTTGCCACACACCAAATAGATTTTTTTTTTTTTTTTTTTTTTGTTGAGAAAGCAACTTGATTCACAAAGGAAAAATGCTGACTTTACTCACTTATTAAAATTGCATTTCTCTTTAGGATCTAAATCAGATAACTCGGTGGTTTAAAACATAGTCTGGTTTATGTGTCAAACTGCTGAAACTCAAGTTTTTTTGTTTTAGGAACCTAATACAGAATTAAAATATAAAAAAAGGCGTACTAACATTGTTGAAATGAACTTGTTTAGTGTGTAATAAATCAAGATTTTACTTGCATATTGTTTGCCCCACATTTTTCCCGTTAGCAGATTTAGATTTAAAATCTTGATTCAAACAAAATGTGTTTTGTTTGAACACATAGGAAATAAGACAGCTATATTGCAAAAGATAAAACCATGTAAAGGCAGCATACATTTTACATTAGTAGTTTTTAGTCGAGTCTTAAAAAATTGCAGGTTGGAGATTTTCACAATCTTCTCAGTCATAAATCCTTATTGTCGGTACAGTAGTCAAGCTTTGTTTTTACTGACCAGCTGGATCCACTGGTATTTTGATTATCCATTTCTGGTTTTGAGCTGCACATCTTTTATTAAGGTCCAGACTCTGACTTGGTGGTTCCAATGCTTAATATGACTTCCAGTCAAAAAGAACCCAAACTAACATTTTAACACTTCACTTTATGAAGAAGAGCTGATCTAACTAGAAAATAGAACAGTTGTCTTGGATTTTCAATATACCTTTATTTCCGAACCATAGTTTTTTCTTTCACTGAACTTTCCGTCAATACACGTGGATACAGCATTCTGCATTAGCTTCCTTTTCGTTCCTCATCTTCCTAGTGAGACTGTGTCAATGGCATTTTCTGGACAAGTCAGCAGACGTGCTCATGATTTTGTACATCCTGAAAACCCGAGTTTGAGGTTTAATGTAGTTGTAAGCATTCAGATGAATACTGAACACCGAAATCGATTCTGTTTTTGAAGCGAGCTATCCTAACAACAACGTGGACTCCAATGAAATGGTTACACGGTTCGTTGTTTTTGTAGAGCGGTCTGGTCTGGCCCGTTTCGTGGGATTGGTCCACATGAAGGAAGTGTTTCGGTCGTCAAGTGAACGTTTCTCGGCACACCAGGCGGGACCTGTGAACCCGCCAGTCAGGATGGCGCTCCGGGCAGCTAGTAAGCGCTTACTGCATGTCCAGAGGACGTGTTTTAAGGTAAGGCTGCTTTGTAGCATTCGCCGTTGCTCATACCCAGCTTTGCTGTGAAACGGACCAAGCGTTTGATCTGCGTGTTTACTTCCGGGTCCTTTCCACGAAGTTCTTTCGGAAAAGAGTAAAAGAAAAGGACTTCTATAAGCTAACAAAGGACAGCTCAAGTACATAATTATCTTAGAGGATGAATAGACGCAAAATCGCGGCTAAAGTACACCAATATGGTTTCCCATTTGAAGTCAAATGTGTGTAGCAAAGAGTCACCACTAGGTGGTGCTGTTGAGTCAAATGTAAGCTGTAAGGCCTTTTGTTTGACATTCAAGGTCCAACCCATCAATCAGCATGTGCTGAAAATCCAAAGAAATCGTTTCTCTCTGCCCTTGTAGATCAACGCCCTTCAAACTCACCTGGGTGTCAGATTCAAGGCAACCTGTCCTGTTGAAGTGAGCCATCTGGATCATTTGGTGTTGACGGTAAAAAGTGTGCCGGACACAATCAACTTTTACACAAAAGTTCTTGGAATGGAGGTTGTCACTTTTAAGGTATGCGCTAATTCATTAAACATATTACATTACTTTCAAAAATAATTATTATTGCAAAACTATCCATGCCTCTTGGAGCTTTTGGTCTTTTTTCCGCAGCCACAAACTTTGATTTTATTCAGAAAAATATCTGGAAAGTGATAGCCTTGTATGGGAGGCTCTGACATGTTAATATATTTGGAATATGTAATAAATAAATAAATAAACTTTGCAGAAAATTGACACTGTACTTGTACCACCCTTATCAAAAAGAACTATACCTCAAGTACATGCCATTGTCTTTGAAGCAAAAATTTTTACTGTAGGATAAATAGTTGAGAAGTTTTTTTTATTGAAAAAAAAACAAAAAAAGCCACTATATGGAAGTCTTTGATTCTGGATCAGCTGATACCGCCTCTCTCTCCTAAGTTGTGTTTTTCCGTATCTCCTTTTTTAATTTTTCCAGGGGAACCGTAAAGCTCTGGGTTTTGGGAAACAAAAATTTAACCTTCACCAGTTGGGCAAAGAGTTTGAACCAAAAGCTAAACATCCAACTTCAGGCTCTGCAGACCTGTGTCTCATCACCAAAACCCCTCTGACTGCAGTAGCTGCTCATCTGAAGGTACTCTCAACACACAGATAGCTTTTAATATTAGTGTTTACAACTGATAAGAAGAATAAATCAGGCGTTAATGCTCAGTGCCATTTTCTGTCTTTGGCAGGTTTGTGGTGTTGAAATTGAAGAGGGACCAGTGCAGAGGAGCGGAGCTGTGGGACCCATAACCTCCCTTTACTTCAGAGATCCAGACCACAATCTCATCGAAGTGTCAAACTACAGCCAGTCAGAACCAGGCAGCTCCTCTTGAACCTTCCAGTGAGCATGTAAAAATGCACTGTCAGCACACGACGGGGTCTATAACCATGAAAGGTTTAAACCAAAATGAGACTGGTAATAAAATAGATAGTTTATAAGTTAGAGAGGGTGGATAACACCAGCTGCTGCAAAATCTAGAGAAACTCATCCATTCGTTTATCTTCAGTTGCATTGATTACTGCAACGGTGTCTTCACAGGTCTGCCCATAAAAATTCACCCAGACCGCTGCTGCTGATCCAGAACGCTGCTGCTCGTGTTCTCACTAAAACTAGGAAGATAGAGCACATCACCCCAGTTCTAAAGTCCTTACACTGGTTCAGTGTAGCTCAGAGGATAGGCTTTAAAATACTGTTGTTAGTTTATAAATTGATGAACGGCTTAGCACCATAATGCATCAGAGATCTCCTGTTGTTGTATCAACCTTCCAGATCACTCAGGTCTTTTGGTTCTGGTCTGCATAGAAGCTTCTCCAGAACCAAACACGGAGAAGCTTTTACGCACCAGAAATCTGGAACAAACCTGTAAAACAGCCAAAACACTAAGTTCCTTTAAATCTAGACTCAAAACCCACCTGTTTTTGAAACATTATAAATGAAACAATCAACATGTTGGTGTGTAACGATGGCACTTGACAAAATGTAATGCTTCAATTGTTGTCTGTGTGTTCTCTGACTTTGTATTTTTGTGTTTTTATGATGTAAAACACTTTGAACTGCCTTGTTGCTGAAATGTGCTATGCAAATAAACTTTATTGATTGATTATAGTTCGACTTTTCTAATTTTATTGTTAGTTTCAGTGAACAGTGTTTACAGGAACATTATAGAAAAAAATCACATTTTTCTATTTGTGTTCCTTTTAATAAAATGTTAAATAAAAATCATAAGTAGGAATATAAAATAAAAGATAAGGGGGGCCTTTAGTGTTATGTATTCAATACATCAAGAGACATGAGTCTCTTGATGTATTGGCATCAGAGGCATCAGTGCTTAAAACTTAAAAAATATTACCTTTTTATAAGGGCTGTTTGACCTGAATGGGCCTTATATTCATAAAATTTTTTAAAAATTAGATGCTTTTAATTATAATAATACAACAAAACACAAATATCAATTTATGCTTCATTTGATCCTGTTATATTTTTCCAAAACTCTCTTCAGTCACATCAGTTAATATCGGAGCAACAATTACTCATCAGATTCAGAATAAACTGTTTTCAACAAGCATGTTTTCCATTTTCTGGAAGCAAGTTTATGAAGTAGCGAGTCCACACCGGATGGTGGCGATGATGAGCCAATTATTGCCACACGAAGAAAAAAACAACATGGCGGTGATGGCGTTTTGACCAAAACACAGCAACAAGCTTTAAAAAGAGGTGAAAAACGAGATAAACATCACCTGTTGCAATATTTTTTATTCTGACCGAGGTAAGTAACCACTTCGTCTCATCATAAGACTTCCAGAGAATATTTATTGCACATTAAGTCGTACCCATGTCCTCGAGCTACGTGCTCTGCTTTCAGTTGCTCCACTTTAAACAAGTGAAATTAACAGTCTGCTCCAACAAGAACTGTGGATCAAACGGGACACATTCTGGGGGACTAATTTGTCTGTTTGGTGTGTAGGAAGAGATCCAATCATGACCGAGCAAACCAGTGCCAGTTCGGAGGGGATCGTGGGTCTGGATGAGCCCAAGAAGATGACCAGAGAGGACTGGAGGAAGAAGAAGGAGTTGGAGGAGCAGAGGAAGCTGGGAAATGCTCCAGCTGAGGTGGACGAAGAGGGAAAGTAAGTGCACCTGGATGTACATAAAGCCCAAAGACCACTGATGGGTGACGTGATTAAAATTGATTATTTCTTTATTATGGCAGTTGTTACTGACTGGGCCTTGTTAAGTAGCAAGTAAACTAAGGATTAAAAGCAGGGAAATGAGCAAGTTTAAGGGTTGGAGTGATTTTAAAGGACCAAATTGAGAATTCAGGACAAATGGGTCAGAACTCGTCGCTTGATTAGTCTTGTTTCCAACCCTTTTACAGCAATAATTAAACTTTAAACTGATATCCGTACAGCTACTGATTCTGTACCTGTTATTCCTCCTAGAATTAACAGTAATAAAATTGAAGTCTTTCTCAATTATACAAATTCTGTTTGCTTCAAAGTACTGAGCTTTCTCATTTCAATAACTCATTTACTCCCCCTCACAAATTAAAAGCTTCTATCTTATACAGCTCACACAAATGATGTCACTCGGTGTGTTTACTTTCATTCATATAAATAGTTCCTTCCCGTCTTTCAGACATTGCTCCTTGGTCTCATGTGGATTTCTAATATCCCTATCATATCAGCACTGGCGGTACTACTGCTGACAAATTTTACTCTTGTTCTTCAAGATCTTCTGTGGCTTCTTGTTACATATCAAATCTGCTTCAAAACCCTACTTCTAACCTTCCAGGGCACCATAAACCTTCTTCATAGTAGGTAAAGTTTAGATCAATGTGTTTGTTGTATTGTGGTCTCAGGTTTTGCTCAACTGTTCCTCTACTTTACTGTTCCTCTGCCCTACTTTCATGGGAAGTAGAGCATTCAGCACCTCACATTTGCAAGTCCCACTGACCAAATATCCACAACATTAACTCTCTCATTGACTCTTAACAGGCTTTGAAAACAAATCAGTTTTAATTTGCAAAAGAAGTTTGGTTTTTGCCTCTGATTTCTCTATTGTTGTTTTTTATGCTTTCTGACTTATTTAGATTTTCTGCCTTCCTTTGGAAAGGGACCTCAGTTGTTTTTAAAGATGCTTATGGATGAACTCTGTTATTAAGTTTGATTACTTTTTCTTTCCATCAGGGACATAAACCCTCACATCCCTCAGTACATTTCATCAGTGCCATGGTACATCGACCCGTCCAAGAGACCCACACTAAAGCATCAGCGACCACAGGATGAAAACCAGAAGCAGTTCTCAGCCATTGGAGAGTGGTATAAAAGAGGAGTGCAGGAGGTGAGAATAAATCAAATACTGTTGTTAATCTGATTTGAACAAATCTAAACAAGTTAGATTTAATCTATTTATACATCTATTGATTTCACACAGAACGTTATTACCACTAAATACCGCAAAGGCGCTTGTGAAAACTGTGGGGCTATGACACACAAGAAGAAGGACTGTATGGAGGTAAAAAATAAATAAATAAGGTCTTATTTTGGATTGTTTCTCCTTATAGTAAAAAAATGTCCACCTCTTTTTTTTTTTTTTTTTTTAAACTAAGGTCTAAATTTTATTTGTGTTCCCTCAGCGGCCCAGAAAGGTTGGAGCTAAGTTCACAGGAACTGGGATAGCTCCAGATGAACACTCTCAGGTCCAGCTTGACATGGACTACGATGGAAAGCGGGATCGCTGGAATGGGTATGACCCAGAGGAGCATCAGCGCATTGTGGAGGAGTATGCTAAAGTAGATTTGGTAAGAAGTGTATGAGTAAAAGAAGTATTCGACCACATCTGTCAATCTAGTTTATGTTAGATTTGTTTGTCTTCTTGTAACAGAAGACATTGTCATTTGTCACATTACAGGTTTGCTGTTTTATCCAACAGCAAATCAGTGTTTCCCCACTCTGTGGTATTCACAAATGTTTTTGGTTTTTTTATTTGTCTATTTTTTGTGTTTTGTTAGGCAAAGCGGACGTTGAAAGCTCAGAAGCTTCAGGATGAGTTGGCTTCTGGAAAATTAGACCAAACTGTAAGTGATCTGTCGGTTCAAAAACAATTTTTTTTTGTTAATGAAGCTTTTCAAATGGGCATCATGTTGCCTGCATAGGAGCGGGAATATGACAGCGAAGACGAAGATGAGGACAAATATGCAGACGACATCGACATGCCGGGTCAGAACTTTGACTCGAAGAGACGCATCACAGTGAGGAACCTGCGCATCCGAGAGGACACGGCTAAGGTAAGAGCCAGAAGAGCTAATAGTAATAGCCAATTTACTGATGAGATGAAGACTTGAGATGAGACATCTGTTTGCTTCTAAGGCTCATTGTTGAAGAAATGGGTTGATAAAGCTACAGGTTCAGGTCTGTGACAAACTGAACTTTGCTTTTCTGTCTCGCAGTACTTGAGAAATCTGGATCCAAATTCAGCATATTACGATCCGAAGACTCGCGCTATGAGAGAGAATCCGTACTCCAACACTGGCATGAATCCTGATGAGTAAGCGTTAGTTCCTACTTTCTGAATACCTTTCACAAGCTTACGCTAAAACAATTTCAAACTGCTCTGTCCTACAGGGTGGGCTATGCTGGAGACAACTTTGCTCGCTATTCTGGAGACACAATCTCAATGGCTCAAACACAGCGTAAGTTTTCATCCTGAGCCCCTTTTAAACTAGATGGAATCACTACAGTGCCTGGTACTTTAAATATTACTAATCACCTCAGTGGGAATTTGGTGAAGAAGTTAAATTAATAACGTATAAAAAAGAGAGCCAGCTCACATTTAGTATGCCTTTCACATCTCGTGATGACCAAAGTATTCCTCAATTTACAAGGCTGGCTTCAGATGAAGGCTGCTTATGATTCACAACTGGAGAGTTTCCGGTCACTTTGAGGAAACATGCTTCATAGTTCCTGTTTCCTGTAAGGATTGCTGCTCTGTTGTGACAGTGTTTGCTTGGGAGGCGTACGAGAGAGGCTCCGAGGTCCATCTTCAGGCTGACCCCACCAAGCTCGAGCTGCTCCATCGTTCCTTCAAGGTCAAAAAGGAGGACTTTAAAGAGAAACAGAGAGAGGGCATCCTGGAGAAGGTACGCTCAGTTATCAGAATGTTTTTGAATTTCAGCTTTTATGTACAAATGGAACAGCAGCTGAAGTTCACTTTAAAGGCCTGTGTGGTTTAGCAGGCACACCATGTATCAATGAGGCTACAGTCCTCGCCATCCAAACTAGTGCATGTCTTCTGTTGTTCTTCTTGCAAAGCTGCTCACTAAAGTATACCACTAGTGCCACAGATTTTCAAAGCAAAAAAAAAAAACAACCTTGAAATGGTATTTAATTTATTCATGGAATTATTTTAAAATGTATAAACTAAAATTAAAATTTTGTCCCTCCTGCTTTTTTGTTGTTTCATTAGTACGGAGGTGAGGAGCACTTGGACGCACCACCGCGGGAGCTGCTCTTGGCACAGACTGAGGACTACGTGGAGTACTCTCGCCACGGTGCTGTGCTGAAGGGACTAGAGAAGGCCGTCGCCCGCTCCAAATACGAGGAGGACGTCCTCATCAACAACCACACCGTGAGGACGATGGAAAAATGACTACTTTTAAAGCTGTGCTGCTTTTTTTTTTGTTTTTATTACATAGTTTTTCAACATTTGTTTGCATTATTTTTTGTATAGTGCATATGGGGCTCCTACTGGAAGGATGGCTGCTGGGGATACAAGTGTTGCCACTCACTGGTCAAACAGAGTTACTGCACGGGACAAGCAGGAATTCAAACGGTAACTAGTGGTGCAAAAAACTTGTTTCATTTCAGTAAATCAACGATACATGTACTTGTCTTTTGTGTAAATATATATTGTGTATAAAGACTATTACTGGTAAGTTTTATACAAAGTTTTTTTTCTGTTTGTAAACAGCAAGGTACTTCTGACTGCGTTCCATTTGAAGATGGACTGCAGGAGCCACAAGAAGAAGAGCCAAAGACTTTACTGGAAGTAAGGGCCTGAACAAGTTTGAGATTTAGCATTGGTGATGACACGCATATCGTCACTTA